CTCTCTCTCTCTCTCTCTCTCTCTCTCTCTCTCTCTCTCTCTCTCTCTCTCTCTCTCTCTCTCTCTCTCTCCAACGCTACTCTAGCTCCTACTAGTGCCCAGCGCGAAGGCTACTCCTAACGCTACTACTACTACTGCAGCGCTCCTCCAGAGTGCTGCCGCCGAATCCTGAAGACTACCTCCTGCACATGAAGTGCCCATGAACTGCCTGGGAAGTCCCTATGAACTACCTGCAGCCTGCAGGGCGGGCCAGTTCTATATAGTGCTGGCCAGTCCGGGAGGCTGCTCTTGCCAATGCCGAAACGTGCCAGACCCTGGCGTTGACGTTCAAACAAAGGTGGTCTTGAAACAGGCCCAAAAATGGCCTGTGCTAAGCCCTGGTCTGGCGCCTGAGTTTCAGGGCAGGTCGACTTTATGAGGGCCTGCAAATGGCCCTCGTTTTCAGGCTTTTGGGCTGAAACGACACAGGGCCTGTAGGGCCCTGATTTTCCGTCTGGTCGGGCCCTGCAGGCCCGTGTGGCTGTGCAGTATGCCACAGCTAGCCAAGAGTTGGGCCTCAAATTCATTCACCTCTTCGTTTTGTCGTTATTCCATACTCCGAATGAAATGCAGCATCGCCCACCGGCACGAGGCCGAATGGTACACCCATCCATTTGACTATAACAGATCTGAGTTAAGATGCTGATAGAATAACACAACTCTGACCTGCCTGGGGTGCCCATGATGATAGCTCAAGGCCATCGCTATTTGGGAGGGAAAACAGGGGAGAAAAAAAAAAAAAAAACGACGACATGTAGGATCACTTTCACTTCTGTAACTTTCACTTCTGTAACACTGGCATTTTGCATTTAGATACTTATGAGGTCTACTTGTGATCACCTAAAGACTAGACAGCTTATTAGAGTCTAATGTGATCATTCGGGAGGCGTAGGGATGCAGCTCACGGGGGAGGAGCTTTGGAGAATAATCGAGGTCGGTACTTCAGCAGCAGAGCAAACAAAATCTTTGGACAGTCAGAGGAACCACAAGAGTATTTTTACTTTTTGAATACCTGAACAGCTGTCTGGGAAAGAAAGCAGTCATTGGACCTCGCTCCACTACTCTCGACATGTGTGAAACGAGAGCGAATCTTCCGCTAGAGAAGAAAGATACATCGCGATGATTTTTGTCTTTTGTGCATGTCGAGAGTAGTGAAGGCAGGCCCATTTTCTTGGACACGAAGAGCAGCTTGCTATTTTCGTCCTTGGAAGGCTCATACTATACTACCATCTTCCCCCAAATAGAATGTACGGTCATTACAGCCCCCTATGTGGCTCACCTTTCTGTCCAGATGCAGTGAAAGCGTCCATATGTTGTATTCGGGGGGAGAAGGTAGGTGAAAAAACGAAAATATATTCACATAGAATAGAATCTTAAATCCCCGTGGAGGGTCCTAGACTTCAGTG